GCGCAAGCATATCATTATCTACCGTTTTCGCGCAGTTAAACGATATTTCGCATACAATTAAGAGTCGCTCGGTGAAGAGTGATCCGATGTTTTTTTTTTTTTTTTTTATCAGCGAGCGAACATTACCTTCATAAATCACAAAAGACAAAAAAAAATACACAAAAATATTACCGGAATATTAAATATTTATTTTAAAGCCGCGAAATAAATTGGCGCGTGACGGTGACACCCGCTGTAAGAATAACAATAAGCAAGCGGGGAGAGGGATATAAAAGGACGAACCGAGCCAACGTAACAGGAGATCCGTTCGAAGTTTATAAACTGAATATTATTGAGATACTAGCTGCCGGTAGCGGCGAAGCGCCATGACAGTGAGCGATGAGGTGCCGCGCGCCCTCCGCGCACAGTTTTCTCCGATTTTCTATTAAACGTCGATTTATTTATGGAATATTCGATGCGACGTGTCTCGCGACGGCGCGCCGCGGGAAGCTGAGCCAATGTGAAAAATTCAAATCAACTCCCCCTTCGTCGAAACATTCTCGAAGCGACTCATCCGCGAGTTCTTGTCAAATCGCGAAACGTGCAATGTACCTTTCCTCTTTCTTTGTTTCAACAATTAATTTAATCTTCACGATGAGAAAAATATCGCAAAGCCCTAAATACGAACTGTAATTAGATATTGTACGTGTAAAAGCAAAAGAAACACACGGAGAATCGGCAAACGCGCACACGTTTCGGGCGCTCGTCATTCTTGCCGGCGAAGATCCCCGGAGGACTCGTCGAATTTCGGGCAATATTGTCGATTGTTCCGATGTGTTTCGACGACAATAACCTGCTCGAGACGACAATAACGCGCTCCCGGGGGCAAAGGATCCCCCGATCGAGCATGCAGCGCAACGTGTCCGGCCCTAATTCCTCTGTTTGCGTATGCAAACGAGGAGACGAGGTCACCGATGGGGTTCCGCCGATATATTCATGCGCATTCCCATCCTCTTCGTTTTGTCGCGCACCTTCGTGTAGCGCGCGCTCGCGCGTGTGTACGTATTGTGAGTACGCGCGTACGATCAAGCTAAGCGGCGCGCGAGAACGGCACTTCGTTGCAATAAAAATCGTCATAACATCGAGGTAAATCAATGCGGAAGAATGCATCGAATATATATTGCACGCGTGAAAAACCTTGCAGACCATTCGACTTGATTGCCGCACGTCGGCCGGCAGCTTAACTTGTATCAACACGCGCGAACAACACACCGCGCGCGAGTTTCGCGGAAACAAAAGAACAGAAATAAAAGAACAAATAAGTAATTAAAACAAACGAGAATACGCGAAAGAAATTGTAGGAATTCGCGGTAGCGCGAGTTTGTTTATTACGGCCAGCTTTGTTTGTTAATCAGTTAACCGCGCGGATATTTCTTTCATTTCGCGGTAGAAAAAAAAATCAGAAATCGTATATATTTATTAATAAACAGAGCGGGGGTGTTACACAGGGAGTGAGAGAGAAAGAGAGAGAGAGAGTAAGAGACGGCGAACGGAACGGAACAAAACTCACCGCTCGGCACGGCTCTCCGCCGCGCGCGCGATGGAAATTAATTTGCCGCCGCTCTCCCCGCAACAATCAAATCGTTCTGAATTTGATACACGTGCGAGCGTTTTGCATCGCTCGCGCGATGCATGCGTCTGACAGGTGGGCGATGCGGTGCACGGGCGCAGGTGGAAATAATACGAATGACGTCAGAGCGCCTCGGGAGTTCGAGCGCGGGGCTGCAACACAGCGCCGCGCGCTGTATGCGGAATCAAGCGAGCTGCGATTTAACGCAAAGAAAATATACGAAACCAGGCGGATTCGAGCCCCGGCTCCGGCTTGGTGGCCTAGCACATTTACTGGGAACAGTTTCCTTTGTGTGAGGGCAACGCGCGCCCTTTGGGCGGCTGCGCGCGCTCACCGTCCGCGTATGAAAAGTCCTTCCGGTCGAACGGCCGGCGAAACCTGATCAAAGTAACGCGCGGAAAATCGATTTCCAACGTAATCTTCGCTGCGCGAAACATCAAGCGAGAGACCCCGCGGGCCCATCGAGCGCAGCTTCGAACGATAACGACGAGGAAAACACATATAACTATCCTGCATGCGATACCCCTCTGCACACATGTGTGCCAGGCATACCATCCAGTTAATGCAGTTAAATATCATCTTTCCATAAACGTTGTATTATCAAATATTGAAATGTAGTTTAATGATACAATTTGCCAATATTACACTCCCTTTCTTTCTATCTCGTGTATTAGAGCGAGTGTTCTTCCGTAATTTAGCGAGACCGATGATAAATACCGTTATATTGCTCTCTATTTAATCAGGAACGAGAGACTGATGTTAATATAATATAAATATTAATCAGACAAAAAAAAAAGATTAGAAGCGCGGAGATTTAACGGGAATAAGAAAATCTTCGGCGAAGAGGAGTTTCAGCTGCGCGCGAGAACACGGAGCCTGGAGGTCTCGCGTACCGGGCATTGTGTATTAAAATTAAGGGAATACATTAAGCGAGTTAATGTTATTCAGCTTTTTGTTCGCGCGCCGCTTTCATAGAAGCGGTTGCCGTCGCGCGGCAACTCTTTGCCCGGCGGCGCCTCCGAAAACGCCGGTCGGAGAAGGCCCTTTCTCTCCACCCTTTTCCGTGCACGGAGAATCTGCGCGCGCGTTCCCCCAGACACTTTCCACAACAAACTTCTTTGTCGCATCGTACGCATACGAAGAAGCTCTTACATGTTGTCGCGGGGAAATTAATCTTCAATAATTTTCCTAAATAATACCGCGCGGGGAGTTTCAGAGAATATATATTTTACAACATTGAAGTCCGAAGAACTTTTTCAAAACATATAATCGCGCGTATAAAAAAATATGATATATACTGCTTTTCAAACACGGCAAAGCCGGACTTCTCTTTGGGGAAAAGATTAAAAGAACGAAACACAAAAAAAAAAAAAATCTCGAAAATGGAATATTTCTCAAGTTAATTTCAAGCCCGTCCGAGACTTTTGTGCGATAATGGAAACAATATTTATGCCGGACTTACGAGTGAGGTAACTTTATATTCCACTTGGTTATCTTTCGCGCTGGAAATAGTTTAATTAACGTGAGAATAGCCACGGAAATAAGATACCGCGGAAAACACAATGGGGGCCCGGCTGACGAGAAGAGAAAGAACTGAGAATATAAACGCGAAGTGAGTAAGTAGGTAGGTATCCCGGGATTCTCTCAATCGCTAACTACCTGTCGTTGAAAGCACGCTTCGCCGAACCACTTGAAAAGTTCCTTCGTCTTACACTCGTAAGGGAAACAGAGAGCACGTCTTTTTTTTTCTTTTTTTTTAACAAACGACAAAGGTAAGTTACATAAGTATCCGACGTAATGAGATCTCACCTTTCGCGATTTCCCTCAGCGGCTGCACCCGAGACCTTCAATGCACTTATTTCGCCCTATATGTGTATACAGGGTGTCTGAAAAATTTCGACACAGCCAAAGTGTGAAAATAGACTTGATGAAAACAATATTTTTCAGATACCCTGTATGATATATAAAATAACTCGAATTTGTCTCACACCTTGCAATCCCGGAACGAAAGTTTTTTCCTCGCGCGAATTCCTCTTACTTTTTGTCTCGCTCCCTTCGCCCAAATAAACTCCAAAGAATAACAACGTTCATGCAAATCGTTTACGCATATGTGATGTATTTGCAAAGTGGCAAGGAAATAAATTTGGCGCAACAATACAAAATTTAGTAAACAGCGAGAATGCGATGTGGCGGCGGCGGCAAAAACAATGCAAGGAAGTGAGCAGTGAAATTCCGGAAAATTCGCGGTTGCACGTTTACAATGCTCGTGCGCACACGTGTAAAGGCCAAATGAAATTCAAGAATGCCGCACGCGGCCGGTTATTAGCTCGCTTTTCCGCCGTTTGGCAAATCGGAAATGTGTGAAAAGCGGAATCGACAAGCGCAATTCCGCAACACAGTCATCCGTAAGAGATTGTTCTTAGAATCGAGTTTTCAGTGTTTTTTATATATTCTGGAAAAGTAGTAGCTACATCAAGTAATTTATTTTATACTTCAAAATAGTAACATTTAATATTTCTCATCTCAAGTGTAAAAATTTCAGTTTGTTCGCCGCACAGATAGAACTCGACTTTAGCGATTTGGATCTCGATACTGTTTGTTTCTTTGAAAAAATATAATTCAAATCTTATTCGAACATTATAAATTTTCAATCACCTCTCTTACATCATAAATGCGATGTATCGTTTTCGCGCGGAGCCTCGTTCTAAGTAGCATAATGGAATGTTGATAGCCATGTTGTTACTCGCGTAGTGCTTTCAGAACGTGGAAAATCGTCGAGTAAATTAGACGCGCCGCGGCACAATCTCGGTTAGCCAATATACTGCGCGCGCCCACCCTTCGTCCTATCGTCGGAAGTATTCCGGGAGGAATTTTAATTAATATCTCGCGGCTTGTAGCGGCGCTCGCGCACACCGAGTACCTCTAACACACAGCGTGAGACTGCAGAAGCCAAAGGATCAGAAGGGCTGATACCCAATGCCCCAAAGACCCGCCCAGGGGTGATTTTGTATCAACGCTAAACCGTGCGCGATTGCTTCGTGACTCGGTGAAAAAAAAAAAGAAAAAAAAATAAGAGAAGCGAGCAAGCAATACAGTCTCTCTTCTAGACAAAAATGTTCGCGATCATTACTAAGTCCACCCGCGGCGACTTCGCCGAGAAAATGTTTGCAGAAAATACACCGATATACCGAGAAAAAAGATCTCAACGAGAGCCGCTGTCAGCGAACGAAAATTAGAACTGTCTTAGCGCGACATTTAAATTTCTCTGCGCTTTAAAATCTCGAGTCGAGATCACATCTTGATTCTATTATCGCTTTATCGCGAAATATCAATTTTGTTTTTTTCGTTTTTTCCCTTCACCGATGCCCGCCGGAATGGTGAATCGACTTACCTTTATTCCAAGCGTAGGCGTTAACATCCCGTAGTCCGTAATAGGTGGCAGCATAACAGGGGGTAGGTTTGCCATCATCATACTGTCTAAATTCTTCACACGTATTTTCCGCCGGTGTACTGAACACAGATCAATCTATCGTTTTTTTTTTTTTTTTTATTTAGACCTACCTGAAAAACACAAAAAACGGAAACATAAATATTAAAAAAAACTGTCTCTACCTCTTGATTGTTCTCTTAATCTAACGTTTCAATAAAAAAAAATATACGATCCGTTTTTTTTTTTTTTTTTGAAACTATAACTTAATTAAAATAATTTTATTGCCATGATATATGTATATACACTGCGGAATTCGTTAAAAAAACAATAATCGTGAAAGTTTCAAACGCGCGAACAATATTCGTCGGCGACCGCATTGACTGACGGAGCGCGTCAGGCTTCCGGTAAATCGCCGAAACGCCAATCGATTGTGGTATTACAAAGCGCCAGTGAAGGCTTCCGACAAAGGGTCGGAATAGTTTCGTATCCCAACTTTTCCATAACTCAGCAACGCAGCGCACACTGTTGACATTTCCGAACACAGTCTGAAACTCACGACAGAGCACGGGGGTTCCAAAGCGCAAAGCGAAAATTTTGTCCTACGACCCTGCGCTGTGTCTCATCTGAGAGTCTTGTGTGTATGTGCGTGTAGCTACGCTCCAATTATACAAACCACCCAATTACAAAATTAATCCATTAACCCCGGGCGGGATTTAGAAGGTTAGGCTTGTGCGCGCAGCGCACAACTAAGTTTACGCATTCGGATCGGATCGCGCGAAAGTCAACGAGTTGTGAGAAGATCGGGCGATTACGATTGCATTAGTTAATAAAACCGCGACTGCGAGCGCGGCTCGGAATTTCGGGATTGATTACCCCGAGATTCGAGAATGCACCGACGATTCGATATGTAAAAGGGTACGATCGATTGAATTACTCACGGGATGTGAATATATTGCGACGTTCGCGTACGTTCGTGCATCGAAATTCAATTTTAATTCTAATTCCGACGTGCGCAATATAAAGAGTGCCAATCTTTTTCTCTCGTCAAATAAAATAACACGACGAAAAAAACAATATAATTAGAAATAATAACTAGAATGTCGAAACTGATGCGAAATACACTTTCGACTGTCTAACAAATGGAAATAATGTCCACAGAATGCGCTACATCAGCCCAAAAAAACGTATTTTGTTATTTAAAAAAATCTTTTTCCACAAAGACAAGTTTACAAGTTTAATTTCGAGTTTTTTGTAAAATTCACACACACGCGCGAGTAAGTTTTTTTTTTTTAAATATCAACTAAATATTTTTCTGTGTACAATTCGTCGCTTTTTTAATAAGATACCGCTGACGTGAAAAAAAAAAAATGTAAGTAAACATTCTGAAATTGATCGCCGGTACATCGCGCGCACTTCCCCGTTCGATATACACGTGGCGTCTGCACGTTTTGCCACGTTCGCGCATCCGTTGCGATGTACTAACCCTCGACGTAAAGTGTGTGTGAAGGTGATCCGCGACGAGAATATCGTTTCGGCGTGGGATCTTCGATCCCATGACGTGAAACAGTCACGTATCGCGTCGCGCTCTGAGCCGGTCTAAGTGCTCTTCAATTACGCGGCGACGCGCAGGCAATTATGAGCGTAATCCTTTAAGATTTACATGGAAGACACGCCCGCCGTGGCGCAGGCAGTAGGTTCTCGGGTCGTAGAATCGAGCTGGCGAAGGACGTGACGGGGGAGAAGAGGAGCACACTTCCGGTATACGGCGCCGTGGAAACATGGCGTTCGCGGAAGTAGAGATTTCGCGAGGGATCTTACCGCGGATTTGCCCGTTAAGCCGCCTCGGATCGTGCTGTTACGGGCGCGATCTCATCTCTATTTCTATCTCTCTTATACTCTTTCCTCGGGCACTCTTCTCCTTCGCCAAGAGAGATCTCGCCACGAGAGAGAAAGAGAGAGAGAGAGAGAGAGCCACGTAACACCAATCTAAGTTTTGAAGTGTCTTTTTTTCTCTCTCTCTCTCTTTTTCGTTTGCATCGTCTCCATTCCGTAATATCTCGCATTCGCACTTCACGACTTTCTTACGCCGTTTTCTCGCTGCAGCTTGACGTCCGCAGCGAGACATTACTCATTCGCGGGAGTGCAACGAGTTGCCAAACTCGCCAAGAGAGAAAGAAAGAGAGAGAGAGAGAGTGACCGTAAACAATAGAGAAAACGATACGCCATTGTGTTGAAATGAGACGCGCACTCACTTATCCGGCACGCGTGCGCAAATCTCGTATTAATCATGCGAAATAAAGCGCGTACATACGGTCGCGTTCCAAGTAGATGGCATCTCATTTGTGTTTTTTTAATTCTGCCTCACTTAATTCGCAATCATCATATGAGACATCGGTGTTACACACGAGTCGATAGAACGATCGTGCAAAGTGAGGAGAAAAAGATCCCCCGCGATTCTCTCGCAAGATACATTCAGAAATTCTTCAAAAATTCGCCAAGTGTCTCGGTACTGTGCGAACGACTCGTGAAATATTCAGATTTTCTCCGTCGGGAGACGCCGAAGAACTCGAGGGTTAAACGCGCGCGCGCGCGCGCGAAATCGAGGCCGTCCCCGTTTCAATGAACACAGGGAAACAACGGGACACGGCAAACGCGAGGATGGCGCGGAGAGCGATCGAGCGCGTAATAAATTACCACAACGATCGGCGGGGAATATGAGAGGGGAACGTGCACTTTAATGCACCCGCGAGATCTCTCCGGTGTATCTATTGTGCAACAGCCAGTATAGGGAAATCGAAATGCGTCTGGTGGCCGTTTCCTCCCCTACCATTCTCCTCATCCCGCGCACCAACCCTCTCGCGCCGACCCTATGCTCGTGCTTTTTTCTCAACGGCCCCTGGATATTTTATTCAGCGGCACTCCGCTACTCTCGCGCGCCGTTTGATATTGCAGTCTCATTGCATAAAATCCAAGGCCCTTGCATAAAACAGCCTTCCGCGCCATCCCAACTCTTCCGCGCGCGCGCGCGCGCGAGCATCCCTCGGAACATCCCTCGGAACACGGAGACGACCTATGCGGCGGCGAAGAGAACGGAAAGATTCTCGCGATCGAAATCACGGAATTTTCTAAATGCAATTTCCGACGAAACGCGTCGGGGCTCATTAACGTTCCGAGTGCATTAGAGCGCTTGAGAGAATAAGTCCAGTCTCTGAAAGAATTCTCACTCTTGTGCAATTTCTTCAAATAGTAATGTAACATTACCTTGTTGTTATCAAGTTGTCAAAATATTTTTTCCTTGTGAATCCTCTCCGCGCGAGTGTAATATTTTTTATCCACGAGTGTATCTTAATGCTCGTGTAGCGTTGTGTACATCTATTGCGTATATATTTCCGTATCGTACCTACATTTTTCTACTTTTCTATTTTCAGCAGAGATGCGTCTCTCACATTCTCTCAAACACGGGAGAAACATGCAGATACGAAACGAGAATATGCAATAAAATGTGCATATAAAATACACACATATACACACGAACGCCATACGCATATCTTTAGAAAATGCAATTCAGTTATATTTCGCGATCGTATAATCGAATTGCAACGCGTATATAACTTTGGTCACGCCCAGTTAAGAGTTAACGCGTGTATGGGTATATATCGCCGCGTACACTTTTCGGTGAATTTTTTTTTCGCGGCGTGAATACCGAGCGGAAATATGTGGCGTATGTGCGTGACCGTCCCGCGGGGGATAAAGCGAATTTTGAAAAATAGTTCGCACACAATTCCCCCCTCTCGTCCCATACGCGTGCGCGAGCTTACAAAATCCGAAATATCGGATGCGTTGTGTTTGCGGGTGTTCTCACTCTCTATGTATTTCGCGGAGATCGTTTTACAATACCGCATCTCGAATATTTGTTAAATAAATACGAGAAAAGTATTCGTTGATATTCGAGATAACAACCAAAAAAAAAAAAAAAAAAAAACTACAGATTATAACCTGCAGACCTACAAGATAATGGATTATGTTCGACGTTGTGTTCATCGCGAATAATATTAACGCGCAGAAACGCAACAATGATTACCGCAAATTGATAATATCGCCGATCGCAATATCGTATCGTAATAATAGAAAAGAGAGGAGAAGGGGGTGCAATAATTAATGATAATACATGTTGACGTTCACCCAATTAAATATGCTTTTTCTACCTAATTAATTACCACGCGCAATTGTGTGTGTGTGGCGTGTATACGCGCGCGCGGCGCTGTACAAATTTCTACGTTGCATACAATTACAACGATGTAGAAATCGAGCCACGTAATATGGTAACAACAGAAATTGCCGATCGTATTCTTCAGCAAAATCTTTCCAATATATCTTTATGTCGTATCATCTCGGGCGTAGCAGCTCATCGCGCGGGAGTGCAGTGATAAAACACGTTATCTCTATAATAGCAAGATATACGATGTGTCCCTTCGTAGGAAAAATGTAGCGCGTAAAAATGAAAAAAAAAAGTGAGGAACAAAGAGAGAGAAAGAGAGAGAGAGAGAGAGAACTTTATACGCGAGTGCGCTTGACTTCAACGCAAAAACTTGATTAATAAAAAAAAAAAACAATAATAATAAATAGCGTAATATCAACACTTGGATTTTGTAATTTTGATATCGCAAATGTGTCCCGCAAGTAGAGTCGTTCTATTTTCTTTCTCGTGTTAAAAACAAAGGAGCGTAAATTTAAAAAAACAAATAACATTCTACACAACGTTTCTTACACAGAGCGATCGATCTTCTCGAAAAGTCGGCCGCAAAAATATCGCAAAAAAAAGTCGTCCACACACTGCAATTGTCAATTTGGATTAGGATAGTCGTTCGGCGATGTATATGCTCGGGCGGTATTACGAGATTCCGCGAGCACACACATCGAATTCGAAGCCTTGACACCGACCATAAACCGCGACACTCATCATCGGGGATCACAACCTTTAATCCGAATCGATCCTACGTCAATAGGCGTGCTAGACTATATGTGGGCTCACACGAGCAACTTTTTTTTTTTTTTTTTTTATGAATCTGGCCCGAATTAAATCGAAAGGATTAAAGTCCGACGGATTGAGTGTGTTCTCTCCCGACGAGGG